ATTTATAAGACATCTCGAGTACAAAAGGTTTGAGGCCTGTAATTAGTAGATGTGGGTCTAACATCCCAAAAAGGCAACTCTTAAGTGACAAATTTGGGGCTACCACCAGGGGGCGCTTTTTGAAATGCCCCTAAAATTAGTTTTAAATGACATCTCGAGTACATCAATGAAACCTTTGTCAAAATGTTCCTTTGGAACCTCTGAAACATTATGAGTCCTTAAGAGTTGCCAATTTTGGGGTTTAACCCATTTCTGAGTGAGTTAAACGTCACCATGGATACAGCCACACACAATCAAAATGCTGTATCAGAGCCATGTGAAGTTGAATAAATTTGATATTCTGATATATCCATAAAATATGTAAGAAGACCTTTCTAACAAGTCATAAAACATCAATTAAGACAACTGAATCCAGAGATATTGAACTTTTTGCGTCAATTTTGATCTGAAAATGAACATTTTTAAGTCTCGTCTAATTTGCATTCGTAGCTTCAGGCAAAAGGTGACAGCTTAACCAGCTCAAAATAGTATTCCAAGAACATTTCCAAGATTTGTGTAATATTGTAATACAACTATATAATGATGAATCACTATTTTGTAATTTAAATATGACGTTATAGTGCCATACCCCTTCAAAATAGAGGAAAGCAGGCATAGTCAATGTAATCATTTTGCAGCATTAAGTTGGAAACATGTAGCACTAGAAAGTGAATCAATGCATCCAAAGCATCTTCATATGTTGCTTTACATTGTAATTTATGTCTTACTAGAATATTGGATTCTTCAAATTTTATATGTAAGTTGTTGATATAGTGCCTCTCTTAAAATGAAATCAATGAAATATTATGTAATCATGCAGTCTAAATATTATAATTATAACAATGTTTATAAGACATCCTCACTCTCTGATTTGTCTATGTAATATACATGACGAAAAAATAACATATTTCTCACTCTCTGATAAGTCCATGTCCCACACATGACTAAAAATAACAAGCGATATTCAAAGGAAGTCATGTGACATCCGTTAAATATCAAATGATATTCACTAGTCACGACTTTGTTCCGTGTAATTTCAAGTTAATGTAGTCCTGGGAGTACATTGTTATGGTTAATCAGACATCAATAGTTTGTTATTGCATTAATGTAAGTGAGGAATATATTAGTGAATAATAAAACAAATATTTAATTCTATTTTCAGTGAATATCTGTGACACTTTTACAAGATGATATTCCACTAGCCCTTCGGGATTTCTGGAATATTATTTGTGAAAGAGGTACAAATATTCACCTCAATAGAATTAAGTATTTTTATTTTATTATTTCACTGTCAGATTCTTCACTCTTTGATTGGTCCATGTACTGGAAATAATAGGCGAAATCAACGGAAGTCCAAGACTAGCATCAAATATCAAATGATATTCACCAGTCACGACTTGGTCCCGTATTATTTCAATTTTATATAGCCCAGGAGTACATTGTTGTGATTGATTAGACATCAGTTATTATTCAAGGAATGTGAGTGAGGAATATAACAGTGAATAGTAAAACAAATATTTAATTCTATTGAGGTGAATAAATGTGGCACTTTCACAAGATGATATTCCATTAGCCCTTCGGGCTTCGTGGAATATCACTTGTGAAAGATATAAAGGTTATTTAATGGAATCGAAGGTTTTTGATACAGGGTATATCTGAGGGAAATACAATATATCTACCCAAGGGACAGGAGGGACCGAGGGTTGATATAATGTATTCACCTAGGGATATACCCTGTATCAAAAATGGAGCATTTAAAGGGGCAACAAGGCCTGTAGAGAGAAAATTCAAAATTTGTTACTTTTTTGATCTATCAGGTCAACATTTGGCTTAACACCTTCTTTGGCATACCTATTTTCTTGTAAAATGTATGGATAAACTATCAATTTCAGCATTAAGAAGTGTAAATTCAATTCAATGATTCTATAAATATAGATATAGATTTTTAAGATCTACTATGTTTCAAGAGGAATATCAGCTGAAATAGACTTCAAATAGTGTTCATCCAGGGGGTTTCTTTGTAGATAATAAAAATATAAGTAAGTCTTGATGAAATATCCAAACTTAAATATATTTTGACACTGGTTCATGATTGTTGAATTGCACTAATTGTTGCACCTTTAAACTGAGATTATGAGGAATAAAAGCCAAGTCCCCTGGCTCAGTATCTACCCCCTGAATTCTTGATGTTGTAGATCAGATGAGCGGGTGATATATATATCATCCGCTCAGGTCACATATCAATTATATTCCTGCGGTGGAATAAAGACAGGTATTCACCTCAATAGAATAGACTAAATGCGAGTAGAAATTATCTTTACTTACGACATTAAAGATTTAAAATTCAAAAATATCTTTTCTTGTGTTGGGCAGATAGTATTTTATTTTACTGGACATTTGTATAACTATCAGACACATAAGGGTAATATGAAAAGTGAACCACTAAAACTAATGAATATTCAAGTTTACGAGAACTTTGTAATACCCTGCTATGTTATTTCCCCAAATTACCCACCTAGTGGCGAAACTGGTAACTACCTACTCACATCTGAGTAATTAAATATTTGTAAATATTTGACGGAACGAATTGTTGAAGAGGGCCCCTTAGTTCTCATCATCTGACCATATTGCAGTTCTCATTCCCGGTCCTCATTAAGCAATAAAGCATCAGAGAAGAGAAGAACAGAATGCTTTTATTAAGATCGCACAAGCATACTGGAAACGGCCTTCACTATGTTAAGTTCACATTGATTGAAATACAGATTTCAACATTTAAGGTATATGCCTCAAATGACATGGGACACAATTTAAATCTTGTTACTCAGATGAAAAATATTAATAGTTATATAATGTTTATAATATGCCTTTGTCTGGATTGCATGATACATTAGTATTCTATTATAATACATGTACTATATTGAAAACTTATATATGTTATATAAAATGTGTATGAGTCCTTCATCTAGTAAAAGATAAATTACAATGTCAAACAACATATGAAGATGCTTTGGATGCATTGATTTACTTTCTAGTGCTACATGTTTCCAACTTAATGCTGCAAAATGATTACATTGACTATGCCTGCTTTCCTCTTTTTTGAAGGGGTAGGGCACTATAACGTCAAATTTAAATTACAAAATAGTGATTCATCATTATAAAAATTGAATTACAATATCATCCAAGCCTTGGAAATGTTCTTGGAATACTATTTTGAGCTGTTAAAGCTGTAACATTTTGCCTAAAGCTACAAATACAAATTAGACGAGGCTTAAAACTGTACATTTTCGGATCAAAATTGACGCAAAAAGTTCAATATCTCTGGATTCAGTTGTCATATCTTGATGTATTATGACTTGTTAGAAAGGTCTTCCTACATATTTTATGGATATATCAGAATATCAAATATATTCAAGTTCACATGGCTCTGATACAGCATTTTGATTGTGTGTGGCTGTATTCATGGTGACCTTTAACTCACTCAGAAAAGGGTTAAACCCCAAAATTGGCTACTCTTAAGGACTCATAATGTTTCAGAGGGTCCAAAGGAACATTTTGACAAAGGTTTCATTGATGTACTTGAGATGTCATTTAAAACTAATTTTAGGGGCATTTCAAAAAGTGCCCCCTGGTGGTAGCCCAAAATTTGTCACTTAAGAGTTGCCTTTTTGGGGATGTTAGACCCACATCTACTAATTACAGGCCTCAAACCTTTTGTACTCGAGATGTCTTATGAATGTTTGCTAGCTCCTAGAGTAAGGGGTACGCTTTTGGAACACTCGTACCTTACGATTTTATCGCATAGAATAGACAATACTTTGCTCAAAATCGTAAGTTACAATCGTACCAAAAACGAACCCCAGTGAGTGTCTTTATTATTTATCATAGACTTTTCGAAGAACTTGCATTTAGCAGTGGCAAAAAACTGTTCCGCGGTAAATGAGTATAACCGGTCCTCAGAATCCGAGTTTCAACGGTTTTATAGTTTTGAAAGGCGCGATAATTGAAAAATGGAATAAAGGGTGTCCCAAAAGGAAACAGGTGTAAAAGGGTTGGTGGTCCTATCAAGTTTTGGTCCTACTCTATTGATTTATATGTTGACCCTAATTACAATTATTTTCCTTATAATTTATACACAGTCAGGGCCAGTAAGGGCCGTAAGGAAAGGGGACCATAATCCCCAGGGGACCATAATTTCTTTTTAATCGGGATTTAACTGCTTTACCAAGGTTATCCATTTTCCTTCACGGATGATTGAGTTCTAAGGGATTTTGTGCCACTTTTTCTTTCCTCAATGACCGAACAATGAGGGATTAAAATGGCTATGCCAGGATGGTTTTGGACCCTGCGACCTCTTCCTTTGGGGTTATCTCAAGGGTAAAGTCTACACAACATCACCAAGAGACGTTGATGATCTAAGGGCCACGATTGTTGCAGCAGTGGAGGATCTAAGGGGACAGAGAGACATCATCAGGGATGATGCAGTACGTGCGATGAGATCTAGGGCAGACATTTGCATTGAAAGGAATGGGGGTCGTTGAAGGACACCGCGGTTAAAACAACTTTGAATGCACATTTGGATTTAAAAGGGGTGTTAAATATAATATGTGTAACTTTAATTGGAATAAATGAGTTAAAGAGTAATATTCTGATGTTTGTTGTTACTTATCACTATGTTATTATGGTGAAATTGACTTGGCTGAAAGTGGCACAAACCCATTTCTGACACTTAAATCCCTCATTGCTCAGTCATCTGTAGAGGAAATATCTACATCTTGGTATCATATGAAACAGGACATAATGACGCAAATGATGATATCTGCGATTTTTCCCGAACATTATTCATCTTTGAGAAATTTGTTTCCTTTTTGAGACACGCTGTATAAAGATAAATATATGCGACATTATTGTAGAAAGTGTGTTTCTTTGACGGTAACCAAACTTATGGAGGAAGTGTATTTTACCTGCAATTGCTGACTGAAACCCAGAGTTATACTCTGTGGTGACTTCATTTTTAACGTAATCGTTCCTTAAATCCTGAAAAGCGTCATTCTCATCCGGGCCTCCAACAAGAGCTCCCCATAGAGTGTGCGGGTTGGGGTCTGGGCTATGGAAATCGTCCCAGCCACACGTTGCAGGCCTTGGGGGACATGACCTGTTCATGAAACAAACATGTGGTGATTCACATGGTTGATGTGGTGATTCACATGGAGGCGAGATAAAACAACGTGTACGCCAAAAATACAAGAGCTGAAAATGTCGCTAGAATATTAAAGGCAGTCGAACTAACAGTTCTTATGTCTAATGCACTGACTAATCAATATGATGGGACTTTTCCATTACAAGTTTTTAAAATTTCATAAACAATGAAACTTGTGCATGGTCTGACATACATAGTACATTACAGATTGATTTAAATACTTCATTTCCTTGTTTTGTAACTGAACTGTTAAAAATAAGAATGTGAATGGTACTAACGTGGAACTGTGATGTGGTCGCACAGGAGGGTTGTTTCCAAATCCGCATACATAACTACTACCTCTAGGGTTGTCCCCCAAAATGTAATCAATTTGACCCGCTGCCCATATTCTATATGCACCCTCATTTAGCCCAAGTTTTGCAGCAACCAATCCGAGAAAGCAGGTATGGGCTGAAATCATGGAAAAGTATTGGTTTAATGCGGAAATGAAATTTCAGAAAAACACGAATTCTAGTCAATTAATCATTAATTGTCAAGAAGGTTGAATGAGTGTCACTCATAAGGTTTACATATCGACGTTATGGGAAAAAGGTCAGTCCAGAATTCACCCAACCGGTCCCACCTTAAATCACTCGGAAAATCAGTGGCTAAAACCCCTCCAAGCTCCATAAAATTTGTAACTGGACGTTTTTATTAAATACTATACCATGTCAAAGCCGTGTCATTGACTTGATCTTAATTTTGCTAATGAATTACAACAGTTAGGAAATTCATGACAAAGTTGATGATTTTTTTAAATTGCTAAACATAACCAGGCTTTGATAAATAATCCGAAACATGACTTCCGGTTGCCAAGCTTATGTAGGGGGGGGGGGTGTAGTTGTGTGAGTACTACATAATACTCACTCATTACTCATTACACTCACCATTATATCTGAGAACTCCCCAACGTTGATGCCATGCAAGACCCCCAGGGGTATAGGTTATTCCACCCCCGGGCAGCCAACGGTTCATGAAGCCTTGGAAATCTCGAGAATACTGTTCCTCTCCAGTTAGCTGCCACATGAGCAACTGGAAAAATCCATTTTACTTTTACAGTATTTTTTCATCTGGATGCCTCATCCATCTAGATGAGAATTACCTATATTTCAGTATTTCAGCTAGTTTATGTGATACATTCCGTTCTACGAAGGGCAATATCTGCTTATCTTTCGATGATTTCTGCAAGGTGTATTACCTGCAGTAGGTATGGAATGAAATATTTGTTTTAATAAGTTACATGATACCAATTATATGTTTTTAGTGTGAATGACAAATCAGAATACCGAGATTTTGGTAATGAAATAATTCATAAAAATATGTTCCTTACGTAACCTCCGACCCATTTATTATCCCAAGAGTATTCTGTGTTGTGTCCACTTTGGTAGTGAGACCTAGCGGCAGTTAGGTATTGTGCATCATTGGTCGCTCTGTACAACCATGCAGCTGACCAGAGCAGTTCGTCCATGTACCCGGACCACGACCTGTAATAAATCACATTCCGAATAGAATAGGACATGGTCTCCTTTCAGTTTTTGATATAGATGATAAGGCCAATCCAAAATGTACGAAGAAAAATGATGTCGAAGTCAAATAAGGCTTGACCGGAAAACATTGATGTGTCAAAAAAGAAATAACAATTATCATTTTTGTCACATTTCAATATACAAACGCTAGACTGAAATGCCAGTGATAGTTTACAATTACAACTCGTTAGAGACTTGATTTCGCAAACATGACGTCTGAAACCAAACGCTTTGTTGACCAGATTCATGCGTCTTACAGCGTCATCTTTTTATGTGCAGCCTGTGAAAATGATGGGGTTGTGATACCAAAAGTATGTCATACTAAAAACACGATCGTATACGTTAACGTACTGATACGTTTTTACAAAAAAACGTCATATGAAACCTTATAGATAATGTAAACATTATAAGAGAGCATCACAGTTATGGACGTATAGAGCTGCGCAAAATATGGTGACGTAATCAAACGCTTATAGTTTATACTTTAGTTTATACTTTATACGGGAACAATAAACATTATACTATGTGTCGCCGGGTTGGCCCAGTGGTTAAGGCATTGGTCTGAAAAGCAGGAAGTCTGGCTTCAGGCCTAAAAAGTAGAGGTCTTGGGTTCAAACCCAGGTCACAGCACTTCTTGTGATTTGTCTTTGACCTATGACTGCTGACCTATACCGGCGATTACTAGAGTGCTGCTAACTCGATAAAAGGCTGGCGCTGGCAAGAATTGTCTATGGTTCTAGCCAGGATAAAGATACCAGTTCTTCAACTCGACAATGGGAAGAACTAATATCGCATGATATGACATCTAAAGAGTCAATAAAAGATATATGAGTGGTTTGCGAAATCACTCAATTGACAAATCCCCTACCTATAAAACTCTAATACGTTAGGGATGCATTCATGGTAGGTTCTCCTATATGTGTTGGCAAAGGTATATAGTTGACGGGAGTTCGTAAGTAAAGTGTCTGCATATGCAGAATCTGGAAATAAACACAACTTCGGTTAACTGTTTTGATCAATGATTCTCGGATACTCAAATTTTATACCAGTCACATGTGAAAGCTGGCTAAAGAGATGGACATCAATTCAATCTCATCACCATAACATTCGTTCCCGGCGTTCGTTCGATACGTTCCTGAATACCTCAGGCACAACTCGTTCCTGAATACCTCAGGCACAACTGCACCGAACGAATTGCTCTTACTTTGCACCCCAATGTCTCCTTCAATGTCAGCAAAAGCACCGACACAGACAAAGTGCATTGAGCTTCAAATATGTATTATACATATCTTCTTGATTAAAAGTTCGTTCAGTGCGTTCCTACTAAGCTTACCCAGCTACAAGAAGCACGATTGCACCGAGCAAATGAAGAGGAAGAAGGGGGAGGAATACACCAGAATTTTAAATGAAGGTTATTAATAATTCTTGTGTCCTGTCATCCTCTTGAGCAAATGGAAAACTGCCATTATCACAGGAGAACGATTTACCTACAGCCCTGAATGCGATACTACCGGCAGCCATAGCAGCAGCCGTTTCACCAGCGACCTCTGATCCCCCACACGTTGTGTTCACCTGGAAAGATGGGCGCTCCATTGTCATATCCTCGGGTCTCCCCCAATTGCTATGATCCACGTGACCATCTCCGACCTGAATATATATCATATCATTTAATAATTATTTTTTTTGGCACACGCCATTTTTTATACATAAAAGTAAAACAAATACTCCTACCATGGTGACACTAATTGGTCGGATTGTAATTAATTTGTCGTTCGGATCGCAGTATTATCTTAAGCAATCGTTTACCATCTAATTAAAGAGAAGAGACGTATGAGTTGTCTTATAAAAGAGGGAGTTTTATTTCAGCAGGAAATGGTTCAATTTCTTTGACAAAGTCCATCCATTTTTACACTTTACCTGTCCAAAGAATTGTTGCCCGGGGATCGTATGACACTTCAGCATATAATCCAGAGACCACTTGACGGAGTCTAACATGATATCATACTGTCCGGCATCACGATATGCTTGCTCAAACTCAATGAGACCGTACAATAAGGTTGTGGTCGCTAGGGCCATTGGAAGTCCAAACTTGACGTGATCTCCAGCTGAAAATGTATAATCATTTGTTGGGCATTTTGGCCCATTACCACTGTTTCAACTATCTCTACTGTCAATCATATCTCTAATCCACTTTGAAATATGATATTGAGACTAGTCTATAGGTAGTATTTAAAGAGCAAGCGCCCAGAAATGAGCGGCCTCCCAATAGGAAGATTTGAGGGATGTAAACCCATGGTGTACCCATGTGTATGCATTACCTAAAGGATCTTAGATCTAATGGCAATCATTACAAAATTATATAAGTGCCTGAATAGGAAAGATCAAATAGTATGACACAATGTAGACCTAGAAAAAGGAATATCAAGAAATTAAAGTAAGGTGTTCGCCTATCGTGTTACCAAAGGTTTGTATATAACTATTGAGTTTTACCGTCATACCATCCCCCTGATAAATCGTGTCCGACATCTTGGCCATCGTTCAGTGCGGAGTCACCTCTCCAGGGGATCCTGTTATTTGCCGGAAGTCGGCCAGATCGCTGAATCTCGTAAAAGAGAATCGACTTATTGAGAATCTCGTTATAGTTCCATTCTAACTGTGCGGTAGTTGTACCTGAAATCATGGACACGAAGAAAGTTGTGTCGTGTAGTGTGATAGAGCTAGATTACTATGGGCAAAATAATATTCACACAAAGCTAGGCAAGGTGTGTCCGATTCAAGCCAATCCGAACAGAGTATTCACATAATGAACAGTGTGTGAAATATCAATAACGCATTTGTTGTGTACAGTTGCTATGCAATTGAGATTGAAATTGAGTTTTCCAATACTTGACCCTTGCAACCAGAGGGCCCCATTGCCACATCAATCGAAGCAGTAGCAAAATACTAGAAGAACCAACAAGTTATAGAAACGTCCTAACGAAAACGAAGCTTAAGAAGTGTGTAAAAACAGAAGACGTGTACCAAGTAGACTGAAACGCAACAAGGACGCCTTGATTCATTTCAAACTTCAAACTCAAAACAATATTTACCTATTGTACAGACGAGCAAAACAAGAAGCAACATTTCAGTGAAAGTTTGGCCTCCAAATAAACGTGTGAACTTGCATGTGTAGGTATAAAATCAAGATAGCATATCAATGTTTTATATTTCGAAAATAAAGTTTTAACCATGTAGACCTATTACATGTATAAAGTAAATTTATTACCAGAACCATGTGTTGATGTTTGTGGTATTGTTGTAGGACCAACCGTCGTTTCCGTTTCATCTGTCGTCTTCACAGTCATTGTAGTTTGAAAACAAATTGACTTTCGGATCAATCCGACCGTCCGTTCCAATTGATTCAAAAGCTTTGGTATCCCGGCATTTGTAATCTTCTTGAGTTTGTTCAAGTTCGTCTGCATTAGTTCCAAAGATTGGATCCAGCTGACCAAATCTCCGAATAATTCCACGTCAAATGTTTCCCTTTTCAAAACCATGAATACCTTATGTAAATCTCTAACAAATGATAGCAATGTGGAAGTATAAGATGCGAATTCAGTTATGTTTGAGTTTTGATATTTTTCAAAGAATTCTCCGGGGTTTTCTAACGACGGCTTTAGAGTTTTGTTTCCACCAGGATTCGACCACCCAATAATAAGATATGCTCTGAACACATCGACGAGTAATTCTCCGGACTCCAGTTGTAACATCTGTTTGGATAATGTCTTTACTTGTTTCTCGGCCTTCTTTGTCGTGCGTAGGGTCTTCCTCTTCATTGCTGTACTCAATCCAATGGAGTTCCTCTTGCTGCTCAATATATTCTTGATATCCTTTAAAACCCTACCCAGTTCGGTGTACGAGTAACTATTCAGTGGCATCACATCGCAGAGCTTTGTTGGAGAGATTTGCCCATTGCCCTTTGGTAGTCCAAGAATTATTCGTCCATTGAGAATTAGTGTTATCATTATAGAGAAACTAAATCCAACGTTGATACCCGTAGTCATGTTGGACGTTGCATTAAAGCATGCATGGCCTTGAAATATATACACGGTGACACGAAAATACAGCCCACTATTTAGAAAATGACCATCAATAATTATGAGATCGTATGGATTTTGTGGGAGAAAAGGTTCAATGCGTAATAATTGATGTACTTATTTAATAGAAATGATATAAGAACTGAGACATCTATCGAGCAATGAAGTCTCACCATGTGGCTCAAAATCAAAGTTTTAAGATTGGGGTCACTTTTTGACACTTTTTTCCAAAAAGTGAGTCGTTTTGCAAATGCTTTCTACCCATCATATTTGATTTTTTTTTATAAAATCCAAAATAAAATGGAGATTGAGATCAAGGTTGAAGCGATGCAAATATTTTTACCCATTAACTGAGTATACCCAAAGCGCACTTTACATGAGCTATTCTGATGCATGTTTCAAAATTGGTACCATATCAGACGAAAAGTAATTTGAAACTTAACAGTCCAGATGTGGATTTGGGTTTAATTGTTCTAATCTACTCTACATGTTTCTTCGTGAAAGTTATCGGTGTTTTTATTCACGGGCAATTTTTTTTATATCGTATCACCTTGTATATGTATAATTGATAAAACAACAATACAATCCAATTCTATAGATACAATGCAAAATGCACGTTTATTGATGTGAATGGATACATACAGGGTGGGCCAAAAAAAACCAATACCCAACTTTAAATCAGAATAAAAATAGCTATGTTCAATATGATACATTGATTTATATATCATTTTAAAGGTAATCCATTTTTGAACAATTTGGTATATAACACTACGTCATGAAATCAATATTAAAGTTTTATTATGCTTATTTGGGAGGCCGGGTCGGTATTTAAGGTATCCAGATTTTAGGGAGAAAATAGTAAATCTGCGGAATAATGTTAATTTTTTATTTATAGAATATCATTTTGTTAGATGAATACATGCTTGTATATTTGCATATTGTGTGATTAAAATTATTGTTTATGAATTTTAGTGTTTATTATCAATAAGTACTCAAAGGGGGTCTGATAAAAGACATTAAACGTATATGTGACGAGGATTTTATTTTCCAACAAGACATTGCCTCGTAACATAGATCAAAGAAGACATTGGCATTTCTTTGCAAACAAGGTGTTAATTTGATCATGATTTGATTGATCTCGATGCTTGGCCACCCAACAGCCCCGATGCTAATGTGTTTGATTACCATACATGGGAGCCATCTCGAGGAAATGGTACAACAAAAGCATCCAATAAACAGCATTGATGAGCTGAAACAAAATCCTAAAGTGCTGAAAGGAATTGCAACAGAAATCTCTCAATAAGGCTATTGATAGATTACGCTACCACTTGAAGCTTATTGTTGATGCAGAAGGGAGGGGGTGGGGTACATTGAGCAATTGTTAAAATTGTTTAATTAAGTAAAGTGTAAAATGTTATTAAACAACATTGAAATTCATAAACAATAAATCTAGTGACACGATGATGCAAATATCAATATCCAAGCATGTATTCACCTAACAAAAGAATGATATTATATAAATAAAAAATTAACGAAATCCCGCAGATTTACTATTTTCTCCCTAAAATCTAGAGACCCCAAATAGTAACCCGGCCTCTCAAATAAGTATAATAAAACTTTACTATTAATTTCATGACATAGTGTTATATACCAAATTGTTTGAAATTGTATAACCTTTAAAATGATATGAGAGTCTATGTACCATATTGAATGTAACTATTTTTATCCTGATCTGAAGTTGGGTATTGGTTTTTTTTGGCCCACCCTGTACATTAAGTGATACTTTGTGATAATGAAACGTAGTTGCTAAATGTCGGATTGTAAAGTATAATGTTAATGATGTACGTGATTCCTATTAGTAAACCTATACTATGGTAAATTTGAGATACTAAAAGCTACTGTTTTGAAAACAGTAGATGGACAGACTTTTAATGAATACTCTTTGTGGTGTTATATCTAATCCTCAGATGTACGCTTTTATAAGTCAACTGTCAGTCGTTCTTAACACGTGCTCCTGATAATTGCCCACTGAGACATTATACCTTAAAACATCTCACTTGATTGTCTTGAGAATTTCAATTGTTTTTTTAAACACATAAAAGGGTGACGAATATCGTTTAGCAAATCGATCGCTCGTTTCTAGTGTTGCTTACCGTTTAGTATGAAAGGCCCGATCCCAGAATAATACTTGAGGGTTCACAGGCTCGATGTCGTTGTGTCAACACTCAAATTTGAGACTCGACCTTCAATTTTGAGCAAAACACTGAATCCGCCGGGCGCCGGCAGATGAATCGAGCAAATGTGACCTAGGCATAAGCTGTGAGGGTGAATCTTTATATGTACTCTGCCTCCCTTGTATCGCTGACTTGAACAACGACTAGCTACATATACTAGTACTATATCACTAGACATGTACTGGAATCTATTCCATATAATATCCAGTCGATATAAATAGCATATTGCTTTATAGATGGCAACGTTGTTGTCTGGATGATAAACCGTTAAGAAATGTATTCAATATTTAGACTTATCGTATGATCTGTAAAATTAAGCCTTCTGATAGGTCAGTTCTTGTGCTTAGTGCTACTGATATTGTCCCAATTGATCATTTCCGTCGCAACAAATAAAATTTTGGTACGGAGGGGACATTCTCAGTAGCAATACAGAGGATCACACGATAAAAACGTTATAGAATGATTTGAAGTGCAATACAGGATATATTCTACCCTCGATATTCTGTATTGGCACTCGGACTTCGTCTCGTTCCAATATGGATTTTGAGCAGAATATATCCTGTTTTGCACTTCAAATCATTCAATAACTTATAACCTTATGTTCATGATCGAAATATGATTTCCAAACAAAAATAGATATATTAAAATATTAATATACCAGAACAAAAAACGATGAAACCATGGGCCTTTTACCCAGAGGTTCATGATTTAACGGCGCAGTATAATTTGTGTTTTCATTAACGCTTTTGAAAAATCTAATGATGAGGTTTTAACAGAAGCTCGTATCAACGTAGCACCAGGTGTATCAATTAATGTATTATTAATGTTCAATTGGTAGATGGAATTTATAATATTCATATTTATTTACTTTTGTGTATAATGATAAGTTGCTTTTTCCTGATAAAAATGTAATTTGTAATTGCATTCACGCTATCGCATAGCTTATTGTAAAAATGAAATATCAGATTTTGTAATACATTATTTGAACTCTATTAAGCTATAAAATCAGTTATTATCCATGTGAAACATAACAATTTAAAATGCATTCGAGATATTACAGAGCTTGAAATATGAAATATATATACTTGTCTTTTGAATAACATTTATTCATTTCGAGAAACTTGAATTAATATCAAGACGAATTCGGTAAAAAAGAACAAACGTCTCCCGGAATATAGACGCGATATTCACTTTTATTTTCACCGCACAATGAATACGTACTTTGTCACAGGGTGGAAGTGCTATCAACATGGCACCATTTCCTGATCATATCTTGTATTATGATTTGGAAAAAAATTCTTTTATAATCTTCTTTCTTAAATGGATGATTGCCAACAAGAGTACACCAATCACAATGAGAACCTGGTCCTTGTCACATCTTCACAATCAACTCAGCTGTCCTCCAAAAACTGGGTACCATTTAATGAATGACTCCTAAACTAATTTACGTATTGAGTACGTCGTTGTAATTTAAATAATGTGAGGTCAAGGTTTCCTCTTATGCTTATTATTTTGATGAATTCTGGAATTTAATAAACGCCAAACGCCTACTTAGGGTACGACTCTACAGCTGATTCTGCTTATAGTAAGTTATACAATCATTATTGACCTCGCTACAAAATCCATTTTTAGGTTTATGATGGTCCAACTTTTAATTTAGGAACCCTCTACGTGAAATATCAATTTGGTTAATTCCGTCTTTTCAGATCAATTTACGACTCAATCTATAACTATATTCAAATGGCTCAAATTAAGTTGCATTTATTCAATTTGGTCATGGCGAAAATAGAAAAATTTGTCTGTGATCACTGAATACACAACAAAACCTTGCAACATGACCAATTGAGTGAAACATTAAAACCCGGAACATGATCTCTATTAATGGAACAACTCCAAGTGGAACACTTTCCAAAGGTCCACCAACGGTTATGTCCGCCATTTGTGACAACGGTATCTGACTTTACCATTGTCAGGCATTTCCGGTGTGAGTATGTAGAAACACTGGTGATCCACTCGATTACGCTTACGATTACGCAAAATGTCGGAACGTCGAAGGTACGATTTTTCTTTTTTCCTTATTTCACACGTTGTAGGCATAATTCCGACGACATTTTTATCACAATCGTATCAGTATCATATGTTTAAGAAAATGTTCATATTTGCGAGCAAATAGTTCAGAAGACAACAGCATCGTCGATTTAATTCCTCACTAAGTTACAGAAACGATATTTCGAAAAACAGTGAAGATCTGCACTTTAAACCCATACCGTTTCTGTAACTTAAGTGAGGAATTAAATCGTAGATTCTGTTGTCTTCTGAGCTATTTTTTCGCAAGCATGTACCTTTTCTAAAACATATGATACTGGTAACCAGCGTAATCGAGAGGATCACCAGTGTAGAAAGTTCAATATTCAATATGTTCAAAAGTATTTTCACCAAACTAGCTAGCGATACAGTCTTGCCTTCGAAGAGTGCTTATTTCATGTAATTGAAGAGTAGGTGTACTATAATGTGTTATGTGTAGCATCCTAGAGATCCATTTCTAGAGAGGAATTTCTCCTTTGTGTTTAGTTCAATCAGATCCCCAATGATTCTAGGCACTGATTCAATTGTTGCACAAGGCGTACGCAAATTAAATTTGGCACATTCAGTTCAAAAGATAATAGTTATTTTGTTTTCAGTATATTTTACGCATAAATGTTTTTCATGCCTTTTCTACGAGATGCCGTCTACCACCTGTT